AAATCTATATATTTACTATCTTTCATTCTCTTTTTTTATTTTTTTTTTTCTTTCTTCTTCTTTTTTATTTTTTTTTTATTTTTTTTTTTTTTTTTTTTTTTATTTATATATATATATATATATATATATATATATATATATATATATATATATATATATATATATATATATATATATATATATATATATATATATATATATATATATATATATATATATATATATATATATATATATATATATATATATATATATATATATATATATATATCTGTGAATAAAAATTATTAAAATTAAAAATCATGATATATGCAGTATAAAAAATACTAAATGCAGGCCCAAAATGCTAAATGCAGTTGGTGAAAATAATGAATGCAGTTGGGAAAATTATATATAAGGGCAGAATAGTACTTTGCCTCTCCTGAGATATCTCAAAAGAAAAATTTTAAGAGTGAACCTATCCCTATATATTTTTCATACGAGGGTGTATATCAAATGTACCCTTGAATTTTTTAAAAGTTTCAAATAACATCAAGTTGAATATAGCGTTCTGGTTTAGAATGACAGGGTTACAAACTTTTTCTTCCTTTTTAAATCATTTTTTTCTTCAGAAAATGTGAAATGAAAATTTATGTTTTAGTTAACATTCTTTAATAGTATTATTTCATTTAAATATTATCAACTATTGGGGGATGTAAAAATATATTAACAGAAATTTAAGGTTTTGTTTTTATATAAAATAATTATAATTATAAGTTATAAATGTATTGGAAAACAAATCCAAAAAACATCTGTTAATAAACAAGGCATACCAAACTTAATTCACTATGCCAATTATAATATTCATTAGGGGTAATGGCAAATAGGCCCATGACAAGGGCACTTAATTAAAAGAGGGACATCCAATTTTTTGTCTTTCAAATAAATCCAACCCATTCAAATTTATTTGCAAATAAGGAAAATCCTTTTATATATACCAAAATTACCCCCAATTCATTGAAACCCAATTTAACTCTAATTTCATGATTTACACCCCAATTTAGTCCAATTTCATCACTTAACCAATTTTAACCCTAATTTCAATTTTGACCCCAATTTTGACCCGCCACCACCGGAGACCGGCGGTTTTCGGCGTTGACTTTTTTTTTTTTTTTTGAAATTTTTTTTCCTGAAATTTTTTTCCGGTCGGTCAACTGCCGTTGACAGCCGGGTTTCCGGCATTGATTTTTTTTTTTTTTTTATATAATTTTGTTTTTTCTTAAAATAAATATTTTAATTAATATTACTGTCTTGGCTGCTAAATTACTGTCTCCGGCAGTTATTTAACTGTCGGAGACAGTAATTTAACTATTAATTGATTCTTTTGTTTTTTTTTTTCTTCAAAAATATTTTAATTAATATTATTGTATTCGTTGCTAAATTACTGTCTCCAACAGTTATTTAACTGTCGGAGACAGTAATTTAACTGTTAATTGACTTTTTTATTCTTAAAAAAAATATTTTTAATTAATATTACTGTATTCGTTGCTAAATTACTGTCTCCGGCAGTTATTTAACTGTCGGACACAGTAATTTAACTGTTAATTGACTTTTTTTTTTTAATTTTTTTCCTTAAAAAAATTATTTTAATTAATATTACTGCCTTGGATGTTAAATTACTGTCTCCAACAGTAATTTAACTGTCTTAGACAATAATATTAATAATATTACTGTTCGGAAAAATAATATTCATAATATTACTGTCCCAAATAGTAATATTACTGTCTGAGACAGTAATTTAGTAGCAAGACAGTAATATTAATTAAAATATTTTTTTTCTAAGAAAAACAATTCAAGAAAAAAAAAAAGTCAACGCCGGAATCTGGCCGGAAAAAAACATTTCAGAAAAAAAATTATTTCGAAAAAAAAAAGTTTGGGATAATTA